CATAATTCATACAGAAATGTTTCTAAGAGTTAAAAAATTAACCACAAAAAAACAATTTTTCACACGTCTTATCTTCTTTATTTTCTGCATATATAAATAAAATATAAACTATTGCCCATATTGTTTTGTTGCCGTGGCAACTCATGATGTAGACAAATGTGTCACAACATGGTGGAATAAGGCACTCGTCAATTTTTGGGCATATAATAATGTAGAGTTATTAAACAGCTTGCTCGTTTGTCCTGCATTTGGCGAAAAAGTACACATCTATCTTGAATAGAAATCTGGATATTTGCGATTGAAGGAGGTGGGGAAGGCTTGGTATGAGATGAAAAATTAGCGGCAGAAATGGCCACTCAAATTTGGTGACTTCCAAAGTTTGAGTGTCCATGGAAACTTTAAATTTACATTCTTTTCGGTGCCTATAATCAACGATTTTCAGTGAAACCAACACAGAAATGTGTTTTTAAATAGTCATAAAAGGTGTTCAGCCAAAAAACAAAAATTCAACAGAAATTGCAAAACCAGCAGGAAAAAGCTCATCCTGTCTTCGATTCCATTATTTTGACGAGCGCGTGTATGTATATATATATAAATATATATCATATAATATATATATATATATATATATATATAATATGTGTGTGTGTCACAACATGGTGAAATCAGGCGATTGTCAATTTTTTGGCAAGTGGAGTTATTACATGTATCATCGGAAAACTTATTTATTCGTCTTGCATTCAATGAAATAAATATCCATCTATCTTGAATAGATCAGAAGATATTTGCGATTGAAGGAAGTGAGGTCACCTGGGCTCAGTGGTGAAATTAGCGAGAAAATAGTTACCAATATAATAGCTAAAGAGAATTTGAAAACAGAAAAATGACATAGTTTGTGCCTTTAATCAATGTTTTCAGTAAAATTCACATGGAAATTTGTTTATATATGGACATAAAAGAGGTGGAGCCAAAAAATAAAAATTCGATAAAAATGTCCAAACTGGCGGAAAAATGCCGGTTTCTCCGATTACTGTCTTTTTGACGAGCGCCTGATTCCACCACGCTGCCTCACAAATGTTTCTAGTTCAAACAAATAGTCACAATTGGTCCAGTTGTGTTGCTCCCGTCATTAAACAAACAAAATTATAAGAAAACAACAAGGGTAGATCTACCAATCCTAACTCTGGGTCTAAAAAATATTTTTCTGAAACATGATAAATTCATAAATCATTAAGGAATGTTTTAAAATTTTAAAATTAAAATGGAAAGTCACGAAAATGTTAAAAGGTCTTACGACAGTAACTGAAGTAAAAGTTGCACATATCATAACTCGTACACAATATCATATATCCATCACAAAAAAAAACATTTTAATTATTGTATAGTCTCCAGTAATAGGCCAACTATTTGTTTGAAATTGTTACAATATTTGGTCGCTTTTAAGGACAAGCAGGCTAACCCAGATTTCGACCTACGTGTGTGGGTATTGCCCTACCTATAGGAGAAGTTTGGAATCATTGGTGTGTATATTTGTTTGGTTATAATACTGCAGAGAAAATGCTCCATGTCTTTTAATTAAAGAAAATGAACAAGGAGCAAAGCCTTTACCTTCGATTTTGTCAAAAGAGCATTTTTCGGGATAGTCCCCTTATGCTTTAAAGCGACCATTTATGAAGTGTCAGTTCCTTACAGACCTGGCAGAGACTGAGAGAGGCCTTCCCAGAGTATTTTAAAATCAATGACATAGTTTGTTAAGCAATGGCTTTGCAAGAACACATTATATTTACCTCTATAATTTATCATAAGACTCTTTATTTGCAACTAGCAAGACTGCATGAATACAGTCAATCCTTGTTATATTCATTGATCCAGAGCCAGATCTGCGACAGACATCGGCGATCATGGTTCTCCATTATTTCCTTTGCTCGGATGCTCTTAAAAAAGCTACGTTTCCCTGATCTTTCCCCGTTACCCATTTGTTTTGGTTCCCCAAGTAGGTTGCTCTGGGCCTACCCATGCCTCGTTTGCCTTCAATTTTGCCAGTGAGAGCTAGATGCTCAAGACCTTTATGTCTATTCAGGTGTCCCAAAAACTGCATTTGTCATTTCCTGATTGTTTTTAACAGTGAGCGACCCATGCGGGCTTCATCAAGTACTACTTCATTCTGTCCCCGCAGAATTATGCAAATTTAGATGGCTAAATTATGCAAGACAAAAGCAAAATTATGGAAGTTACCGTAACGCCATTCACGGCATGTTTTGCACTTTTTCAACAAGAATTTTCGTGTTTTAGCTCTATGTACAGAAGAATTGAAAACAGAACAGTATCAGTACATCTAGTTTTTTTGTGTACCTCAGTCAGAAAAAAAAACAGCCAAAAAATATAATCTCTGTAACTTTGAGCTGTATAGAGGAAAGAAAACATGTTTAAAACTTGCACATCACTAAAACCAGGGACACCTGGCAAACATGAAACATCAGCAGACATCAGAACAACTGACTTTTGATGGATGGAAAAATTGAAAATGCTCAAGGAACAAAATCCCTAACAAGGGAAATAACCAGCTTGTCACGTAAATGAAACTTACTGCTGTGATTACTTCCCTTTAGTCACATGTTAATCAATATTGTTTTGTTAAAAATGGAAGAAAGGACGTCAAAAAACTGACGGGAATCCAAAATTTTGCAGATGTTGCAGAATTATGCGGAAAAAACGCGGCCGCACAATCGCATAATCCGACAGGGACAACTCATTTGACTTCTTTTCCTTCCACGTCAGCAGTCTCCTAAGAAGTCACATTTCTATTGCTTCTATTTTATTTTCACTCTCTATACATAATAATATATAAAACTTTTTATTTGCAATAAACAAGACTTTGCATGAATACAGTCAAACCTCGTTAAATACCGCTCCCCATTATACGTCCAGCCCCC